GAAGCAGAATGTTGACTCAAGTGTGTCAACGAAAATAAACGATCTGTAATGGGAAAAGAATTTTATTTGATAGAAAAGAGTTTTATTTGAGCCAAACTGAGGACTGTAGCCCAGAAGACAGCCTCTCAGATAACTCTGAGGAACTGTTCCAGAGAAGCATGGTTTTCAGCACAGTTTTATATCTTGTCAGAACAAAGAACATCAAACATGTCAGGGATACAGACCAGCATGTACACAGCGAGTCAGTGTGGCCTTGGCACCTGGGAAGGGAATCTCACCGTTCAAAAAGGACCAGCATTGGTGGCCCAGGGAGACAGGCATTTCATCTTTATTTTTAGCGTGGACATTCTTTACTTCTGGTCACTGTGCCCTTTTCTGTAATAATTAAAGCAGACGTACAATGTATGTTTGATTGAACAGCCACAAACAGGCTGTTCCAGTTAGTATAAAATTCAAGTTAACATGTGTATAAGCCAGAATGTCTTCCCCACACCTCAACATGTGAACGTTTCTTCTATCAAGTGTCAGTAATTAAGAAGCTTAGTCATTTTTTTTAAATTTTAAGTGTTTAAAAGAGTTTTTCTTCCAAGATGCTTCTTCCAAGCATCTGTAGATAAGATATATATGTTTTCTTTGATGTATTGGTAAAAACTCAAATATTAGTTCATGGAATTTAGAAGATACAGCTATACCCTAGGATTATTTAGTTCTAGAATTTTTTTAGTATCCTTTTTTTTTCTTTTTCCCCCCTACAAACACCATATAGAATTTTAGGATTGGAAATACTGTACTGATGGAAGTGTTGCTGTGTGAAGTTTTGTCAGGAGAGCAATCTTTCCCCATAGTTATTCCTCAGATAACTTGGACAGATTGCAGCCAAGTAATCCTGATCTTATCAGCACACTGTCATTTGAGGGTATTTATTGGTTACTCTGCTTGCTGCCTCTAAAATAGCCAAGCTGGAAGGTCCACAATAACAAGTATGAAATCCTAGTGACGTTTTCCCTGCTACTGTTTTTGTCGCCTTTAATATTTTCTTGATGAAATTTCCTTTTACGACTTAACGCTCACGTGTGCTCTCTGTGTAGAGGCAGAGACTGTTTATACATTTATACAGCACTGCTAATCATCACCCTCAGTTGTCCCAAACTATTCCAGGGAGCGGAATAAGCGGTGGTTCAAAGTTTCAAATTCAGAATCAGAATTTTAGAGCTAAAAAAGGCACTAAGGCTTGTGTAGTTCAAGCCCTGATTTTTACAGGTGAAGAAGCATATGCCGCCTGTGACTCCTTCTGCCACAGAGTGGGGCCCTGGGATAGGGAGCACGTGTCAGCGTGAGCACAGATGAGGGAAAGCTGGGCTGTGCTCCTATTTGAGAAAAACTTGCGTCTGGGATAAAATCGTAGGAACAGTTCACTTCTAGAGAAAATCTACTCTCAAGAAAACAAATGACCTCCCATAACTCATTAATGCAGTTTTAAGTTTGAAAAAGACAAAGTCAAACACAATTTTACAAAAACTTTAGGCTCTGTCACCTGCAGAACATCTTAGTGCAAACTGAGCTTCTAATGAAAAACCCAAGTCCTGTGTCTATATGTATTGAACACCATCCTTAGGTGGATATCAGGGCAGATAATTTAGTGTTTTCAGGGAAAATATACGAAGTAACATAATTTTCATTTGTGTATGGTCTGCACATAAATCAGAGCATGATATTATGAAACTTCCTAGTTACTCTCATTTATAACCGTATATTTTATATAACATTTCTCTTAAACATATCAAGAGATACTGCTATCGTATTGAGGTAAAACAGTCAAGAGCAAATAAACGGATTTCTTATATTTTAAAACCTTTTGCTGATTTTGTGTTACAGAAACTTTTTTCATCTTTTTCTTTCTTTTATAATAATATTTGTTTATCATCAGAAGCACTTCATATTTGTAATAATTTTGTGGGGTATAAATATCGTCATGTAATTTAAGTTTAAAAGGAGTGTCAGAATCCTCAAGTTTGTTTTTTTTTTTGACACTTGATAGTAAATAATATCTGACAACTGAGATTTTAAGTGTTTTCATTAATTTTCTCCTCAAAGGACAATCCTCCTAATTCCCCATAAGATTACTCATTGCAAGACTTTTTCTGACCAGAGAAAGGAGCAGACCGTTAGAGGAGAGTGCGTTCTGGGCTCAGGCCCGCGCTCCCACTGCAGGTCTGGTCCCCGGGCTGTGCAGGGCACCACCTGCCGGACCCTCGGCCCAGCACGTCCACGGACGTGTCTGTCCCCAGGGTCTGGGGGCCGTCCTCTCCCTGCTGCTGTGCTGTCCTTGCTGCTATTCGACAGACACTTCCAAATAAGAAATTAGTTCTTGGTAAGCTTTCTTTTCCTGATGTCGTAGAAAATGATGATACGGTTTCTCATAGAAGGGACGCATGTTCTTAACAGTTTCTGCCATCAAAGGGAAAAATAAGTCAGTCTTTTAACAGTTTCAGAATTCAAGGTTTATTTAAATTAAACTGTACAGGACTTAATATCATGCATTTAAATTAATGCTGTAAACACACCAGTTACGGGGAAAAACTTTTTCTGAGGATCTACTTAACGATCATTGTATTTTTTTGTAGGAATGGTATACAGCGTGTATTTAGGAAACGAGGAGGTTTTCCTTCTTAATCAAAAATTTATAGTCCTGAAACCTTCAAGGGTAGTAACTTATAACGTTTTGAATTAAAGCATTCTCTTCTTGGACCTTTCAATATACATGTTTACATAAATTACACATTTTATACAAATATTTAATGTGGTGCCAAGTTTGGGCTTTTTTACATTTCCTTTTTTATATATTTATTTGTTTTTGGCTGCGTTGGGTCTTTGTCGCTGCGCGCGGGCTTTCTCTAGTTGTGGCGAGTGGGGGCGCCTCTTCATTGCGGTGTGTGGGCTTCTCTTGTGGAGTGCTGGCTGTAGGTGCATGGGTTTCAGTAGTTGTGGCACGCGGGCTCAGTAGCTGTGGCCACAGGCTTAGTTGTTCCGTGGCATGTGGGATCCTCCCAGACCAGGGCTGGAACTCGTGTCCCCTGCATTGGCAGGCAGATTCCCAACCACTGCGCCACCAGGGAAGTCCCTACATTTCCTTTTAAAGTATGTCAGAAAATTGATATTTTGATATTAATTTCTTGAATTCTACAATTAATAGCAGTGGTGACTCTGTAAACTTCAGAGGAAAATGTCATAAATCTTCAAAGCTTCCACACAAATCCCTCTTTGAGATGGGAAAAAAATCAATTATAAAAAATATTATTTCTTCATCTTTGTGTTTTCTTACTCTGTCATTTTTCTTGCTATTTTAAAGTATTGAATTCTACAAGTCTTCTTATCCTAGATTTAATGTGTTCCGAAGCAGAAGTGCACGTAAATAAAGCACTTAGCGCAGTAGGTGAAACATCGCAGGTGTTTAATAAAATGCCGTTCCACTGCAAATATCCGTTCAAACAACTTGGTTTCTATTTCTGTAAAACCTGCCTGGTAGAATCTGTGCGGAGGCGGGGAGATAGCTCATACCGTATCATGTTGAGTGGCTCGTGATGGGAGGAGCCGTGAAAGCAGACTCTTTGCTTATATCGTATTCACTTATGTCTTGATTTTCTGCCTCCACTGCCAGGATGTAAACACCTTGAGGACAGGCCTTTACCTGTTAACCCACCACCATATCCCAGGGGCCTGCAATTCCTGGCACATGGGAGGGCTCAGTAAAGACTTGTTTGATGCTACTGAATAACTGACACTATCATTGGCATAAAATCATTATTTTATAAATGGGTTTCATCTTTTGCCCTTGGAAACAAATCTATAAGCTTTTCGTATTCTGCTAAGTTATAAAACAAAGGAAGAGCATTCTTATTGAATAATTTAGTATCAGTCACTCAGTGTATATTGAAGGAATTATATGCAGAAGATCCAGCTGTGGACAGAGACTTAATATTGATCCTTATCCCCGAGAGGTTCTGATTGGAACTGTTAATGAACAGCAGGAGGCAGAATGTTGAGTCAGTGAAAAGGTGTTCATTCGGAGGGCAGGGAAAGTAGATAGCACTTTGACCTGGAACAGCAGGAGGCGACTTGTGTTTATTAACAGGTTGGGGAGGATGATGAAAAGGGTAGGAAGTGAGGCAGGAAAATGAAAGATGCATTTTCATAGTGTCCTCTGCACCGTAAGCACCCTGTAAATGTTTATTGAATTCAGCTTGTTTTGGAGGTCTTTGAATGCTCAGCTAATGGGATTAGCAACACGGGATTCCATTCCTGGTGACTCTGGAGAACCATCTTAGAAAAAGTGTTTCCTCGTTCTCAGATAATTTGGGTTGGAATTCTGAGGGTTTTCTGGAAGACTTCTGAGAAGAGAATCAAGATAGCAGTATTTTGGTGGTATTAATCCAGGACAATAAAGAGAATGTCTTGACATTCTCTAGTGAAGTGTTAGGCTTCTAGAATATTAACAGTGTGGGGTGAAAAGGGTCCCAACTAGGTGGCTGGCAGTGGGAATAGAAATAAGAAATCACATCCCACATCGCAGAGAAAGAAGTTGTGGTATTTGGAGATTTAAATTTTAAGGGGGAAGTCAAAGATTTATGGTGTTAAGTCTGCTCCACTAAACCCTGTACCTTCCTCTCCAAGTGCCAAGTTGCTTTTCAAAAAAGAATTTTTCATCCTGATTTTTATGTTTATGGAACCCCCTCCCCTCCATTTTGCTGAACATTCATTCTGAAATTATACGTAAGTTACATGTCTGTATTAAGCCAGAGTAATAGATTTAATCCTCCAAATCTGTATGGTGGGAGTGACTTTTAAAAGCTATTTAGAGAAAATATTTCTGGTTTTACTTTAGTAGATGTCTTCTTTAAAAAAAAGAATGGAACGGTTGAGCAAGAAATCTCTCAGAGAAGGGGTCCATTAAATCACTTAGTAAGCTCTGTGAGTCCATGGAAACGCTGCCTCTCTTCCAGGGCCACCGGGCCTTCACAGCGCCACGCTGGACCTGGACGGCGACGTGCGTGCCTCCGTGCCAGGTCATCTAGGCCAGACGGCGTCTCTGAAGAGGGGTAGCAGCTTTCAGCCTGGTCGAGATGACGGTGAGTGTCTCCCTCCCACTTGTACCTTTTAAATTTGTACTCGTGTAATAGCCAGCGTTTTTCTCTTGGAAAATTCCATAATTACCTGTGTTACTGCTGCTGAGTATTACCAGCCATCATCCCTTCTACTTAAGCAACTACCCAGTAATTAAATTTAGATAATTAAAATGAATTTTACATTGTACATTAAAGAAATGCCATTTGATTTTTTAATAAGTCATTTCATTGGGCACAGGTCAGTGTTATTCAACACATTTCTGTGGTTGAATTTTTAAAAATATGCCACAGAAAAAATTATCTGAGAACGTCTTTAGGATGAAGGTTGCAACAAAAGTGAATCTCTGTAGTCAGTACAGAAAAATAGTAGACACCTTTTTAAGGAATTTTAAAATTTGGTTTGAAAAGAGTTGTTTGTTTATTACTCATAAATTAGTTGCTAATCATTTTTTCTATGATAAGGCATCTCAGATTGTAACTGTGTTACATTTCTTCCTGAGGTTGACATTTATCTTTTGTTTGTTTACCTATATGAGATACAAAACATGTTGTTATAATGCATTTGTATACCAATTAGATGCTATTAGTCACTGGTTACTTACAACCTCAATAATAGATATAAGAAATGCAAATAAGGTAATAGAAATACCTTACTTCTTATTAAGTTCAAATACCTCTAAAGATTATTTCAGAGTATTTCATATTATTATTCTAAGTACTGGAGTAGAGATTTTTTTTCTAAAGTTCTATTAATAATATGAATGAATGTCCATCATAAGCACTAAAATCAAATGATACCTTTGCACTAAATGAAGGGATTCCATAACTGTCAGTGTGGCTTCTTCTTGTCCTGTTCCATTCTCCACCCAGCCCACCAAACTCTAGAATAAACACCGGAAAGAGCAGAACTGTTTGGTTCTGTACATTTTGGTACCGTGTAGCCCTCTAAGCAGATGTAGCCAGGGCCTGACCCTGAAGTGCAGCCCACCTGAGTTTCAAAAAAATACTTCCTTTCTTTAGTGAGTAGGATGACACGTGATCTGTGAAAACCCTTTCCACACCCCTTCCTTGCCCTTATGTGATTCACTGCCATCCGTTGACATGCTAACAGGCTTAAAACAGTTAGAAATTATACTTGAGGCTGACTGTAATGAATTACATCAGCTTGAACAGTTCAAATTTATCCTGCCTGGGGTTTGTCAAGCTTCTTGCATCAATTTTATCAAATTCTGGAAATTTCCATCAAATTTGCAAAATTCTTGGCTATCATTTTGTCAAATACCTTTCTGCTCTGCTTCCTTTTCTGGAATCCCAACTGCATGTATGTTAAGCCAATGGATTATCCCGTAGATCACTGAGGATCTGTTCCCCACCCCAGTTTCTCCACTCTGTGCTCCACTGTAGAGTCAATTGTCATGCCTTCAACTTCTCTATCTTTTATCTTCAGCGTTTAAGCCAAAAGTTTCATGTACTTTTTCATCTCTAGAAGTTCCATTTGGTTCTTTTAAGTATCTTCCCTTTCTTTCCTCATTATTTCACGTTTTCCTTTACTTGAACATTGTCCTTATAGGTTAATTCTCTCTCTGTCATTTGTGGCTCTGTTACTCTTGACTAGTTTTCTCCCTGGTTTCTGGTTCTGATTCTCCTTCCCCTTTTAGCCTGGTTAATCGTGTTTCATTGTTTCTCAGACGCTGGGAATGTTCAGTGTTGAGTGTCTGGGTTTTGTTCTCTTCCTTTAAAGAGTGTGAGACTTTGTTTTACCGGTTACTTGCAAATAAGTTTGATTCATCCACGGCCTGTGGTTAGTTGCTGGAGCAGTAGGCTGCCTTCTAGGGAGACTTGAGGCCACTCCTGAATGGCCTGGGGTCACTCAGGAGGACTGCTCCCTCCCCCGTGTGATTCCTGGGAACCCTTGGCCTTACTACTCCCTGGCTGCTCTTTGCCTGGCTGTGAAGTCTGCTGGACATGAGCGTGACTTAGGAAGACTCTTATGTGGATTCTGGGAGCTTTTTTCCCACGTAGTTCCTCCCTCCTTTCCAGAACTCCTCCATGTATCATCCAGTCTCCCCCGCTCCCCTGAACTCCATCTTTCCAACTCCGAAAGCCCACTGAGCTTTGCTTCAGTTCCTCCTCCCTTGACCTCTCTTGTCTAGAAATGGCAGGCAGAAATCCAGAGCAGTTGTGGGCTCCCCACCTGTTCCCTTCCCCTTCCCTTAAGGATCACAGTCTTGTGCTGCCTATGAAATGCTTGTTTAGATATTCCCCCTCCCCCACCCCCACCCCTGCCCCACAGTTTTCTAGTTGTTCAGGACCAGAGGTTAAATCCAGCCCTTGTTACTCCAGCATGGCTAGAAGTGAAAGCCAAGTAAGTCAGCTTTAATTTCTCCAGAGTTATTACTTGAAATTGGAACATTATGAGGGATTTGCTTGCAGTAAACAATAGCTGTGAATAAAGTTGAGGAAGCTTATTCTTGATCAAAAAAAGCCTCTGCGTTATGACTTCTGTTGAGACACATTAGGTACTCCTGCCATATTCCCTTCGTTCTTTTCATCAGTCTTAGGAGATGACTCTTAAAGTTATTCTTTCGGTGATAGAGCATGTGGGAATTTATCAATAAGAAAAGAAAATCCAAAATCATTTTTTAGTTATAATGATCAGAATTTGGATGTAGTAGGCTTAGAAGGAACAAGGGGAAAGGGCTCTCAGTACACACATACATACGTGGGTGTAAAGAATCTGCTGGTGATAAAAAGATCAAAAACACGTGACCCTCAGAATTGTTCCCTGTCACCGGGCAGGAGGCTGCAGGAGCCCGTGTGTTTTCCGAGAGCCCTGGTGCCTGAGTGCCAGCCCCTCGGTAACACGGCCCTGCAGCCAGTGTGCACCTCTGGCGGGGATGCTCCATTCCCAAGGGGAATTCAGACAAAATCATTTTATCAGTTTAATCTGCTATAGAAAGATTCAGCCAATGGAATCCAGAATCTTTTTGGAAGCCTTTTGGAATTGGTTTGTTTTTATTTATACTTGTCCAGATACTTTTCCCATCATAAAATCATTTCACATGGAATACTTGTTAATTTTTTTTCTTTTTTTATATACATTTATTTGTTTTTGTCTGCCTTGGGTCTTCATTGCTGCACACCGGCTTTCTCTAGTTGTGGCGAGCGGGGGCTACTCTTTGTTGCGGTGCACGGGCTTCTCATTGCGGTGCCTTCTCTTGTTGCGGAGCACGGGTTCTAGGCTCATGGGCTTCAGTAGCTGTGGCGAGCGGGCTCAGCAGTTGTGGCTCACAGGCTCTAGAGCGCAGGGTCAGTAGCTGTGGTACACGGGCTTAGTTGCTCCACGGCATGTGGGATCTTCCCAGACCAGGGCTCAAACCTGTGTCCCCTGCACTGGCAGGCAGATTCTTAACCACTGCACCACCAGGGAAGCCCAGAATACTTACTAACTAGTGGATTCAACAAGAGAGAAGCTGAATTTACTTCCTATTTGTTTATTTTGTGGTTTTGAAAAAGATTTCTTTTTAAGTGGTGAGAAGGCAGTGTTCCCTCTTTCCTTTGGG